TTGGGGCCGGTATCCAGACTATGGATCTATCTTAACTACTGAGCCATCTTTCCTACTCCCACCATTTTCCCCGACCCCCTGTATTCCTGGCTGCCATGTGAAGACAGAACAAGCTCTGACCTCCTAAGCAAGTCTTCAGACATTAGGAAGCAGATGCTGGCTCAGGTAGACCCTTTACCAACCAAGGGTGTTAAGAAGGTAAGCATGGGCTGGAGAGATGGCTCAGTGGTTAATTAAGAGCAGTGACTGTTCTTCCATAGAACTGGGGGTCAATTCCCAGCACCCACATGGCAGCTCAGAACTGTCTGTAATTCCATTTCCAGGCGATCTGACACCCTCACACAGACATACATGCAGGCAGAACACCAACATACATAAAATAAAAAGAAAGAAGGTAGGCATGAGTCCCAACTGCCAGAAGTACGGTATGAAGGAAGCCAGCAGAATTTTAGCCCTCGAGGCCCAAGGACAACTCTGCAGATTTTGAGTTTATGATGAATGCAGGTGAGCAATGGCCTGCCTACTCAGCCTGTGTACTGCTGGAGCCCACAGTCCAGTGATATTTCATTCACTTGGCATCATAGGAAACAGAGCATGTACCCTTTTTCAGATAAATGTCCCTGAGTGACCTAAATAAATAAATAAATAAATAAATAAATAAACCAAACAACAACAGCAAAAGGTCATACTAACCATTTTTGCAAGAATCCAAAACAAACAACACATTTTCTCAGTTTCTTAGAAAGGTTATTTCAAACACAATGTCGAAACACTTTCCTCTCAGCTCTGGTGGGTGTTGAGGTGCTAGAGAACTTGTTTCTATTCTAGAGAACCCTGTCTTGGGAGCCTATACGGCAGTGTTTCCGCCACATCTTCTGCTCTTAAACAGGCCCAAAATTTAAGGAGACTTTCTGTGCCACCAAAACACAAAACAAACAACAATAAAACACCTTGGTTTGCAGAGCTACTTTGTGGACAGTAGAGCCCTGCCTTGTAGCAAGCTTGGTATGCCTAGGCTTCATGAGTAGTGTTTGGGGCCTTGAAGCTAAATGAAGAAGGACCACTTGACCCTCATAGCCCAGGCCACTAAGGTGAGCTGCACCCCAGAGCACACAGGGATGCTAGCTGACATTGAGCCCACCCAGCAGGTCCCTGGGGATGTTCCCTTGTAAGGCTGAGCACAATGCCCCAGAGCTCTGCTCCTGGCATCCAGAATTCTCTGGTAGACAAAGCTCCCTCCACAGTCTCTGCTCTCTACTCAGAAATGCTCATGCTCAATCACATACTCACTCTACATAGCAATCTAACAATAACCATCTGCATCCCCCTGGAAGACCAGCCACCCTGGGGGCTTCAGCCTTCCGTTTTCCCGCCAAACCTTAAGTCTGGCCCACCTGGTAGCCCAAAGTTCTCAGCAGCAGCACTTGGGCTTGAGCCTGATCCATCTTCAAGGCTGAGATGTTGAGTTAATGGGACTGCAGTCATCCGCGTTGGACGCAGGCTCTGTTGACCACCCTTTACTTCCACCAGAAGGTGAGAGAAACGAAAACGCATGCCTCCCACATCTCCATCACCACCCTCAGATTTGCAGCAAGTTCCTCTGCGCAACCCAGCCATTCTCCTCCCTGTCCGGCCCAGGGTGCAGAAGTTGCGCCTTCATTTCTTCCATACCCTCCATTCCTTTAAGCATCCCATTGGTGCCCAAGCTCTCCTCTGTGGCCCGGGACTGAGAGTAATCGTCATGCTGTGCCTGCCTCCAGCCTAGCCCTGCCTGGGCCCTGATATGCTCAGAACCTAGCCACGATGCATATCAAAGAAAATAAGAGCAATAACACACAGGGGAAGAAAACTCTCACAAGTGTGCTCTACCGCTCCCCCCATGGCTTTCGGTTCCACCTACTAGCTACTCACCCCATTTCTCTTCTGCCTACCCTCTCACCATCCACCCCGAGGCCTGCCTGCCAGCCAGGTTCCAGGATGAGGAGCAGCTATTAATTATTAAAGCAAACAAAAGCATTTCCTAGCAGGGAGGCTAGCCTGCAGCTGCTTACAGGAAAGACATCCCAAGCTGCCTTCCTTCTCTAAGGCCTTGCTCCTGCAGAGTGACTGGCTGGTAGAACAGCCAGCCCTGGGTCTCCCAGGACCACAGCAGGGGGAGAGCTGGCCAGGCCTCTCCGATCTCCCCCACCTAGGAAACACACCAGGAGAAAAGTGCTCTTCCTGGGCTAAGCCCACAAGCAGGAAGACTTGTCTGATAGAAGGATAGGAATGGGTCTCAGAGATAAATTCCTATTGCTTTAGGGCAGGAAGTCACAGCATTAGCCAGAAGTCTTTGAGCAGATATTCCTGTTAGGGAGACCCTGGCAGGGAGTGGTAACCTTCATTGCCAGTCTTCCCTTCCCTTCCTGTGAGATGGGTACTTGGTTCCTCTTCTCTCCCTACTCCTAGGCTCAGAATTCTCCTGCTTGTTTGCAGCGGCTCCCTCACTGATCTTGGCAAGCCTTCTGGGCCTCTTTCCTCCTCATCTACTTTGTTCAAAACTTTGGCATTTTTGTAAAGTCTAAGTTTTAAAGTTGGAGAGAGGTGGCTGAGGGATGTAGGGCAGTTGTTGGAACATACTGACGTGAAGAGAGGCACCTGCTAGGGAAGGCTTTTGGAGCCATCTAGGTGGACTACTTAAGCCTGTGGGTGCTACAGAAGGAGGAATGAAAGGGCTGCCATTTTTGCCCTATAGGAAAACCTCAGCTGGCACAGCCAGAAAAGCAGGGACAGGCAGAGGACAGCAGAGCCTGACCTGTGGTAAGCATCTTTAGGTAACATTAAGAACTGTTCCCCTGGGCAGGGAGGAAGAACATAAACAGAGAAGGTGCTGAAGAGGAAGGAGTCAGGGTTCCTCAAGGCTCGGTGGGGCTCTATTCTGTGGGTGTATGATGCTAAGGGCTTGAGGACTATTTTAAGAGAAAGAAGGTCTGGCAATCTTGTTGACTCTCCAACATCATAGGCCATTATCATACAGAAGCTGGGAAACAAAGCTGGGGTCAGATTGTGATGAGCCTTGAATGCCAGCTCTCTGGGAAGTAGAGACATGCCAGTGACAGCCTTCAAGTGGAGAATCAGAGTACAGGACCAGTTTATGTTATCCTTCAAGCCTGGGAAGAACGGGGTCTAGGGCAAAGGAGTGTAATTGTTAGAAGCGGCATCTGGGGACATTGGGATTGAGACTAAGCACCTATAAGCTCTGAAAACCAAGTGGCTGTGAAGTGACGATGAGGAAGGCACAAATCACCCGAAGCAAGCAGCCTTGCAGGAGAATGAAGCCAGGCAGGGAGCGACATGGAGGAGAGAATGGGAGATGCATGTTTATTGTTACATTTTGGGACAGGAAGACCTGAGCAGAGAACTGAGGGGGAAGACAGGTAGAAGAAATGACAGGCAGTGTGGTCAGAAATGAGAGCCAAGGGTTAGCTTCCCCGCTGGAAGCGGGAAGAGAATCGCCCACATGTTTGAAAACTCTCAATCTATGTCCTAGAATGGAGCTTTCCAGACTTGGGGCAAGCAAGCTCAGGCCCAAAGAAGCCTTTGGGCTTCAGTAATGTGGTCTTGGGGACTCAGAGTAGACACCACTCAAGAACCTTTCTCTGTGTAGATAACACCATTGGTGACTAGGAGGGATGATGTTGGAGGTCTCACGCCCCTTCACCCACCTGCAGGATATCATCTCTGTCACCCCCGCCTCCCTCTCATCAAACCTGCTGGCTATGGGCAGTAGACAGCAAAGTCAGAAAGAAACGGGAACTTCCGTTCTAATACACCCAACTCTAACGTCACACAACTGCTCCAACTTAAAGCAAAAGCCAAAACCAACAGCAGAAAAGGAGGCACACACAAGCCAAGCATTGCACAAGTCGAACCTTAAAGGGGAAAACGGGAGGGAAATACACCATCACACTGAGAGCGGTGGTGTTAAACTGTGGTTGTGTGTCTCTAGTCTCTAGTTAGATCCCTCCGAGAACGGACGGGACTTGGCTCATCTGCCATACCCTTTCCTGTTCTGGAGAGACCACTCGACAGAAAGCCCAGCACACTCTGTGAAGTCTGGTGTGCAAAAATATTGCATCCCCCTTTCCACAAAACACTGTGTCTACCACTGGGTGAGGTTAGGGCACACTCCAAGTCATATTTGCACAAGTTTGGATATGTGAGTGTGCCAGGTTTGCTTTGCTTTGACAAACCCTAGCCGCCGTCCTTCATATGTTGGGCAGCAGCTATTTAAACTTCCGGGAGACCCAGTGCTCGCCCTGTCCTGCGGGGACAGTCCCTACCGAGTGCTGGGCACTAGGAGCGCTTGATCGGTTGTATAACCTCCAGCCCATGCTGTATAACTAGAGGGAATATTTCAGAGACCGTGTTCCAGCTGCTGCAGCGACCGGGTAACCAGGGCTTCAAAGTCCCCATCCAAATCCTGGAGCCTCCCCCCGAAAAGTAACCAGGGTGGATCCTGTTGATTCCCAAGAGCCTCCAGTCTCCTTCAGGATCTACCTGAAACTACCCGAGAGAGGAGCCCAGCCCCATTCTCAACCCCAATCGGTTCAGCATGGCTAACTGCCCACTGGCTTAGCCACTCTTCAGCCCCAGCCATATCCCCGGCCCTGTGCACCACAGAGTTTCTCGCCTTGCTTGTTGGGTAACGGCAGAACTGGACAAGCGCAGAACTATTGAGACTGCACAGGAAGAAGGAGCTGGGCATCTCTAGTGACCGTGGGTCGTGGCTCAAGGTGTGCGGGAGGAGGCGACACCAAGTCCAGAACCCTGGACCCTAGCGAGCAACCCCGCCCCACATCCTCAGGAGGAAGTCAGACTCACACAGGATGAACAGGAGACTTCGTCGGGACAGTCAAGAGTTAGGACTGTCTCCACCCCTCGCTCCAGCGGGTAGGCATGCGGGATGAAAGCGGAACGAAGCGGTCCAACCGGAGAGCTAGGTCGAGTGGAGCGCTTACCTCTGCGCCGCCGTGCTGGAGTCCAGGATGCCCGCGCTCTGCATCCAGGAGCGCACCGAGCCCAGGCTGGAGGGCAGCAGCGGCTCCTCTTTCAGGTGGAGCCCACCGCGGGGCAGAGCGTCCTGTGCGGGGAACATACGGACCCGCAGTTCGTGGGCGCCCCCCACTGCCAGGGATCCTGCCCCGCCGAGGCTGTAGGCGTCGCAGCTCAGCCCGACCCGACGGCACCAGGAGCCTCCAGGAGCGCAGCGCTGCAAGGAGTCCCGGCGCCTCAGTGCGCGCCAGCCTCTCAGAGAGAGCGGGTCCCCGGGCGCCGACGCTGTCCCCTCCCCTCCCGGGGCGCGGGGCGGGGAGACGGAGGGATTCCCCCGCGGCCTGAGCGCCGGTGAGCAGACTGCGAGCGGAGCCGGCACCCGCTCCGCACGGAGGCGCCCCAGAGGCGCGCTCTGGCGGCTGCCCAGCGCCGCGGTCCTGGGGGGGGGGGGGCGGGGGGGCGAGCGCCCCGCGAGGTGCCCGCCCTTCCCCCCTCGATCTCTACCCCCGCCCGCCCGCGGCGCCCGCGCGGGGCGCTGATTACCATCCGAGAGGGGGAGGCTGCGGCCGCGGAGCTCGGCGGAGGCGGCGACGGGGGTGGCCGGGGCGGCAGCAACAGCAGCAGCCGCGCGTCCCGCGGAAAAGCAGGGCCGGCACCCGGCCAGCAGACGCAGCCGCCGCCAGGCCCCCGAGGGCCCCGGCGCCCCGGGCCTGCCGCTGCCCCGGGCGGCAGCACCTGCAGCAGGAGCAGCAGCAGACCGGCCGAGTCCCCCCGGGGCCCGGTCCCCGCTCCTCCCCGCCGCGGCCGCCGCCGCCCGCCGCTCCCCGGGGCCTGGCCGCGGGCCCTGGCCATCCCGCCGCCGCCGCCGCTCCCTGGGGAGCGGGAGCCGGAGGGAGGGAGCAAGGGCAGGAGGAGGGCTGTCGCAGGCGGGTGGGCCCAGGGGACTCGGGGCCAGGGGAGGCGGGGGCGGGGCGCGAGGCCGGCCGAGGGGCGGCCAGGGACGTGACATCATCGGGGGAGGAGCGGCCGGGCTTGGGGCCGCGGCGGCGGGGCGGACCCTGGCGAGTCGGTGGCGGGGCTGGGGGCCAAGGCTTGCGAGGCGCCGCCGGAGGGGGCCGGGAAGCTGGCCTGGGCCGGGGGAGGCGAGGAACAGGGCGGGCGGGGGGCTGCGCGGCTAGGGAGCCCGGCCTAAGCCGCGCAGCTCGTCGCACCGAGCCGTCGCCGCCAGACGAAGCCCCAGCATCTTTGTGGTCCCATCTCCTTCCCCCAAGTATGCGCCGCCCTCGCCTCAGCCGAAGCTCGATTCTGGGAGTCGCTGCTCACTTGGAACCACCTGACCTCGGCTTAACCTCTGCGGCTTCGTGCTGAAGGGTCTCTCCCTGGATGCCGCCCCAGGCAAGCTGAGCCACGTCAGTCCTGCATCCTTGTTCCTGGATTACCTTAAACTTAAGTTTACATTCCCACCTGAGCCTTTGAGACTTCTGATGGCAAGTTGGACCCACAGGACTCAGGCTTAGAGTTAAGAGCCCAGCTCACTTCCGTTTCCACAGACTTCTTTCCTGAGTCCGCTCATCCTTTATTTCTGCACAGAAATCATCTGGCCTTTGACCTTGGGGCAGAGCCATTTGTTGTGTGTCCTACAGGCTATCAACAAACCTTGGGTTGACTCCAGCAATTTCCTGCGGAACAGCAAAGGGGGAATATTGAGGGATGGCCTTGTCCTTGCTGCTGCTTGAACTCTCAAAGCTCCATCTTCCTGGGGGTGGGGAGAGGGCACGCTCAAAGTCAGCCTAACTGATGCAGAGGAAAGATCCAGGGACACCAGAGTCCCTCTGCCTCTTCTCCTGACCTCCTGATCTTAACTCTCCCTTCTCTCTTTGCTCGTTTTTTTTTTTTTTCAACCTCTGTCACCTGTGAAGAAGGAGGAAGGACACTGCCAGTCTCACGCAGACTTTTCAAGGGCTCAGCTTTTACCCAGGTGGGGGTAAAAGCAGGTTTCTCAAAATGAAGTCTCTCCCCACCGGCCTCTAGCTGGCTACTAAACATTGTCACTCAGAGTACGGCTGCCGGATCAGCAGCATTGACATTGGTAGCTCGTTAGAAATGCAGAGTCAAAGGCCCTGGCAGACCTGGCAGGTGAGAGCCTGCATCAGAGAGCTTGAATGCTGCTATCACATATGCGCGCCACTATGCCTGGCTAAGACTTTCCATTCTTAAAAATCCTCCCCCTTCTTCCCACATCCTACAGCCTGTTTCTGCTCCTGTTTCTTCAGAAGTTAACACGAGTACTCCACTAAGGCTGCTTTGCCAGTTTGGGCTGGCTACTCCTGGAGGCTCACAGCCTGACTCTTCCCCGTTCTGGAACGGTTGCTTCTGCTTTGTCTCTTGGGACTTCTGGTCCTCAGCCCTCCTTCAGTATCTACTCATCACATCTTTTCCTCCTCCCACCCATCTAAGGAAACTACTCCATAAACAAGATGTGTTATCTGTTTCACCTCCTACCCTCTGAGGATGTTGGGCTGCTCTGTCTGTCCCCCGCGCCCCCATGCTGTTGTTCTCCGAAGCCTGTGAGGCTGTGAGGCTAGGAAGACCACATCCTAGCCTGGGCTCCTGTCTTCTATGTTGACCATCAGCTGGGGAAATTAGAACTGGGCTGGGCCATGGGGCAGGAAATGAGCACCTGCCCCGGGAAGAGTTTCCAGCACACGTGGCTGGGCTCCTGGGCCGCAGTGGCACCATTTAGTTCCCACATGCCCATCCTTCACAAGCCAGCGTGCCCACATCATCCTCTCCTGCTGCCCACAGGCTTTGAACGGGATGGGACAGGTTGTCTCTGAGAGCTTTCTCTTCCACCTACAGCTTCCACTGCAGATCTTCCATGCCTTCTCTCTGCCCTGGCATCCACAGAGAATGTCTCTGATAGTAACACATTTCAACACTAGATTTCACCCTTGCCCGAAGGAGACGCAACTCCTGTTCTGCTGTCAACTTCCTTATCTGTCTCCCAGATGTCCACTCAAACACCCTCCATCCTCCTGCTGCAGGTTTCAAAGTGCTGCTTCATTTGGAGGATATATAACCTTCTTAAGAAGACCAGTGTATGTCATGGCTCCTCCCGTTTAGGGACATTCTAGGCCCTTTGCCGCCTGATCCATGTCTCTCACCAGACAGTCTAGTTTCCCTTCCTCTGTCAGTTCTTTGCTTGCCTGATACAAAGAACTGTCCATTGACTGAACTCATTCCCACTGCAGGCTGTCTCTTTACTATGCTGTCCCCTCCAGCTTAGGCATTACTTTTCTATCCAGGGCACAGTGGAGTGAGTCTCTGTGCCTTTTTGGTGTTGCACTGTGGCTCTAAATAGATTTGAGGAACAAGTGCTCAGGAATAACCCGGGGAAATAGAGGAACAGGTTGGCCTAGGAACATGGCATTGAGGGATAGCTGTCATTAGTGGCGATCTCCTGGCTTTTATGGTTTCCACTCTATCCTAACTCACCCCGTGGAATGGACAGGAACCAGCCAGGATGCTGTTTGGACCTTAGCAGACCCTGAAGCCTCAGTGAAGGGTTTCTGGGTTAGGGCTGCTAAAGCAGGAAGCAAAAATTCTGGGTGACTCGGGCTCTCTCCTGAACAGATGTTAGAGCAGTCATTGAGATCAGAGTTGAGTGTCTCTTCTTCAGATCCAGCCACAACACTGTTTCTTGGAATGACGTTTCATTTTGCATTGTTTATCTTGTTTGGGGGAAAGATTTCTTCCTTTCTACATACTATGGCTGCTCTACAGACAAGAATTTAAGGATTAGAGGAGGCAAAACCCCTTATCTCACCTTTTTGCTTCGTGGACATTCATGCTTGTGTTCAAGAAGATTCTCGTCATGTGTCCAGTGCTAGAGAATACATGGAGAACGGAGCCTAGCAGTGCCCTTCTGAAGCTCACGGGATGCTCACAGAAAATTCATGAACAGTCAGCGTCATACCAGGGTGAGCTGGACTGTCATAGAAGCAGGGGTGGGTAATGGAACAAGCACAGAAGGGCCTGGGCCTGGGCGGAGAGATATACACATCAGCCAGGAGGATGGGCCTGTGGAACCAGAAGACTGGCCACACCTGCTTCAAAGGTGGAAGGTGCCAGCACCTGGGGTGACACGGCCGGTACCTCACATACCATGCCGAGGAGCTTAGGCTTGTTTGTTTGTTTGTTTAAGAAGAAGAGGTATTTTCCACACCTCAACCCAGTGCGAACTGTGGGAAACAGACACAGTCATTTGAGGCTGACTAGTGCTTGGAGAGTCTGTTTATTGTACTAGACTGCCCCCTGGAGTCCCCAAAGTGTTAGGTTGCTGTTTGGATCCACTTCCTAAGTCACCTGAGAGTTAGAAAATAATACAAAAATTAAAACATGCACTAATTATGGCTTCTCACATACTCCCATAAAGTGAAGAAAAGGGTCATTTCAGAAAGTCACTTGTAGTAGTACATACAAATATGTTAACTCGGGATGCAAATATCAAACTACACATTTCCTTATCTTTGTTTGTTTGTTTGTTTGTTTGTTCTGGGTTTTTTTAGATAGGTTCTCTCACTATGTAGCTTTAGTTGTCCTAGAACTCACTAATTCACAGAGATCTGCCTGCCTCTGCTTCTGGGGTGCTAGGATCAAAGGTGTGCACCACCATACCCAGCTGTTTCCTTACTTTGTGGCGGGGGGGGGGGTGTTTGTGTTTGTGTGTGTGTTCTTTTGCATATTGCTGGGGAGGGGCAACAGGAAAGGGAGCCATTGCCCTGCAAATGGGGGACAAGCAGCATAGAGTAAGGGATCTGCAGAAAAGGCTGCTTTTCTTGTCTAAGTGAAATGGAGAGAGGATGCAGCAGAGACTGATTTTTCATAGGCTCTCTCCAAAGCCCTTTGAGAATTTATTGTGAAATATTTACATGGTTATTTGTATGTATTGCATATTCGTAATTGTATGTTCTTTGAAAGGACCCATTCCCTCCAATTTATAAACTTCAGCTCTGCCCCACACTAAATCTTCTGATGGTACTTGGAGCTAAATAGGAACAGTGTTTGTCAGAGACAATGAAAACTTCAATTAGCCAGGCACGG